TTTGTGGAGGGTCTCCGGTCGGACGACTGTAATCCCTCCGTGCGAAATTCAGATGAAATGTACCGAAATTCAGCTACCACGGGACCGATTCATATCAGGGCAGTACTGGAATTGGAACGAAACCATCGACCTGCATCGACCAGTTTGAAAGCAGCAAACCGGCTAAAACCTCATACCATAATTTCGACACTTATCTTAGGCATGGTTTCAAAATAGAAAAAGGTTCACATACTGCCATACTTCGTACTGGCCGACCTAGTGCCCATTTATATAAGGAATAGGAACCATCTGGTTTTCTCTCCCATTAAGCATTCGAGCGCGTGCAGAATAGTGACGAGGACATCACCAACGCAGTGGCGGTCTTCAGGTAGCGACTAACCTTAGCGACCAACTTCATACTAAACCACACATACATTTTGGCCGCGGACCCCTATCTCTAGGATCTGGATTAGGTGAGAGATCAAATCAGCGAAGTCTCGCAACACCGAACTTGTATTCCGGTTGACCCAATTCCCTGTGAGAGTGCGCACAGTGAAGATTTTCCTCGTGGTATCTTACCGCGCCTCATGTTTTCTATCCATGGTCCATATCTAGTAAGTGCCACACTTCCCACTGGCAACCTTCGAGCTTGTCGTTTTCACGTTGATTTTATTCGCCTTTCGAAGCGGCGCTGATTTTTCTGAATTTATTCCAAAAAACCACCGACAGTGCCGCTGAATAAGCCTGTTCTTTCTCTTGGTCCTCACCGGTTCCTTCATAATCGTGCTCCAGACTCAACAACGTAGCCAGAGACCAAATCCTTGCCGCGCTTTCCCTGTCAACCTCAGCTACATACACACAACAGTTCGTTGATAAAAGAACACACTGCTTAATCATGATCACATAGTGCAGATCGCTCACAGGAATGTCTAGAGAACGCCTTAGCGCCCTTTCCAGTCGCCCTCGTCACACACGAAATCCAACAAGACCTTTGAAACCTTCCATGAAATGACAGTCAACTTCCCGCTGTATGATCGGCCCGTTCAAGGCACAGATGACGGTCCCTCCTCCCAGGGTTTCTTCCACTACTAGGCGACCACGAGTCTCAGCAGCTACTGCTACTGCGGCTAACACTCGCACACCAGAAGCTGTGAGTAATTCGATAGCAGCACACATAGTGTGACCAGTCTCGATTCACTAGTCCACTACGATAACACCAGTGCTAGCCGCAGAAACAGATACATGTGATTGAGACCTGATTTCCAGCCTTTTAGTCTTGCCAGAATAGTCGACATAATCAACACCAATGGTATGAACACATAGCTTATTGGCCTTGCGTATGATAATGAAGGGAACGCCTATTAAAGCACTGAGGGCTCCTCCTGTGATGAAGCCAGTCGCATCGACACCAGCCAAAGCTGCAACGCTGTCCTCTCCCGCGACATGAGAGATCTTCGCGCGCAAGTCCTCCAGTAGAGCCGACCAGGCATACTTATCACCATAGATCGCTGAAGGATCAAGCCAGGCAAAGTCCGAGGACGGCTCTCTCACTCGGGGCTGCATCATACCAGCATACCATGGGTACCCACGACACTTACATAAGAGTTTGTCCAGTTTGCCAACATCAAACCCATGGAAAGACTTCGAGACACCAGTGGCGACTATGATGCAGTCGACGTAGGGCAAATATTTGTCAATGTTCTCGGGCGTGACCCCAGAGCCGACCGCGAGAGCATTCGTATCAGCAGCCTGGCGAAATTGAATGATCTTGTTGATGTCAGCAGGCACACCAGTAGCAGTACCAGAGGTAACAACTACGTCCATAAAGGGAGTAGCCAGGGCCACGGCCTTTGACCAGTCCTCCTCAGCAACCACTCGTTGCTTTTTGAATGCCACACCTCCGAAGTAAAACTTTATGCTTGAGTGAGCTGATCGTACACTGCTGATTCTCTCAGCTTCGACCTGGTCCGCAACACCACGTCCTTCGTCAATGCGTGCATCGTCGGCCCAGTAGGCGTCGATTCTACAGTCATCGTTGGTCACCAGGGGTAAGGCTACATCAGCAGTCATTGCGAGGCAGTTCACACCGAGGAAGGGCTTATCTCCAATGGCTCGGCGAACAGCAGATATAATACGAGTGAAGTCGGGGTTGACAGGCAACGTAGTGACCGAGCCGTCATCATTCTCGACTTGGTTAATCAGGAGTATACCATGAGCCCCCGAGGCCACTGCTATTCTAGCTTGCTGTACTGCCTGGTCACAGTCCTTACAGTGCACGACCAGGAGCACAATGCAGTTGGAGTCGGCCCAGTAGTCGTGAAAAGCTCCACGATGCATCAACCAGTGCAGAAGCTACTGTAGGCATGACCGGCATACAAGAACACTACGCGGGTCAGAGATGGGAATGAACATGTTCAATGCTAATGGACTTGCGCACTGTTACCATACCACTCCTTCGCCACTTCGGCGTTTTATGAAACAATATCGGTATATAACGATGCATGCACTTCAAAACGATGACAACTACGATGGTGATACGAAGACTAGACGAATAGTGTACTGCTGCATGGTAATGGTGGTACTCAATGCGGTAGTAATAACAAACACGCCTCTAATAAACATCCTTAACTTGTCTGTCTACTTTATTCGGCTTCTATCAGTCCGCCACATCCATTGAAAATGGCAATCTGAACCAACAACATCCCTAGCGTCCTCCTCATATACAGGCACCAAACCATTCGGGGTGGTGTTAAATTGGCCCCTCCTGAATTCAAGAGCGCAATCAGAGTTGAGTTTCACAGATTCAATCCAATATACAGTAGCACGGCATCTGTCGACCATTTCAGAAAGCCAGTAACGATGTCGCGTAAATGTTGATGATGAGCATGTTCCAAGGTCGCTATCAACCTTAGCCGGTACGCCCTTTAGCACTGGGCCCATCGCCTGTTCGTTGGCGGGCCTTGCTCAATATGAACTCGGGAACGATTTGGATTCGCGATGTGGTTGCAGGAACAAAACGAAACGTTAACATCTATAGAAGATTGAGAAGCTACTACTGTACTAACACTCGTACATTTACCGTTGACACTTTTTCAACGTACACTAAGGTTTAGGACTATCGCCCCCATTGGAGCGTTCCCCACTAAGTATGCACTGCGTGTCGACATTGGCTGCCTCTCAAACAACAATGCCTCTTTGTGTTAGAACAGTTGAAATCGTCACAACAAGTAACATCATCTTTATCTGTTTCCAGCGTTTACATTGAGGAGTTTTTAAAACTGCCATACTGAAGTTGTCACCACCAACGGGCTGTCGGCCGTATTATCAATCACTGCCGACCACCCCCCCCCTCCTGGTAGAGGAGATTTACCCCAACTTGAATTCTCAAAGTCAATCTTGATTGTAACAGAATTGATTGTGACAAACTTGGATTCTCATTGTCACTCTTGATGGTAACATTGTCATTCTGTCTGCTCACTTGTCAACTTGCACGGGAAA